CTGATAGAGAAGTGCTGAAGCACGTGTGCAGCGTCAAGCACGTGAGAGGCCCCAGTGAAAGCCCGAAGTCTGCTGAAAGCCATCGACCTCAATGGGACACTCAAGTGCTTGCCACTGGCATGAGTGTGCCTATCTTGAGGACACGGAACTGGAAGAAGTTATGTTAGTCAACTGGTCTCACTCCCTGCTATCGCCAGCACCTACCTCATGTAGCAGTTATTCCTTTCATAACTTGGTCCAAATCTGCTCTAAGAGGCCTTGACGGAATAATTCATGCAATGTTGTTGCTATAGAGCAGAACTTTTTTACTCTGATATTCAAGGTTTATTTTTGTCAGAACCCACAATCAATATTTATTGATGACCAATTTATACCCATTTCCTCTGATTGTTTGTAATTCTGGTCTTCATAGCTGCTTGAATCTTCCTCCATAATATTACCAGTCTTCGTACGTATTAGTCATGCTTCACCACTTCATGTCATCTGCACATGTTGTTGCACAGTGCTGGGATTTTGCCAAGGGTACTGAAGGGTATATGAAAGAGGAAGAGCTCTGATACTATTTTATGAGAAATTTTGTGAAGAACTATCTATCATAAATTCTTTACTCATCAGACCATTTTCCTTGTAATAAAGTCAATTTTTGCCAATTTCCATGCAGCAACTTAATAAATACTTAACTGGAGCCCTGACAAAGAGAATCTCAATTGCATTAATGTAATACGTAGTTCAGCTATGTTATTATAGGAGAGTACGATATAAGAGTGGGACAACAGCTCTTTACCAGGTTGCACTGTCTTTTGTATAATACTCCATTTTTATTGGAAACTTAAGCTGTTCCTTCCCTTACAAAAAATTTGTTTTGAAGCCTTACAAACAGATCAGATAAGACCAATAGGCCTGTAAGTTAATTAGATATCTTGCATTCCTACTCTTTTGTATTGTGACAACACGCAGTATTTTCCACACTTTTTGGTAAAGTCCTGTGTCATCACAGATCTAGTAACTTCATTAGAAAAGATTCTTGGAAAAGCTGGACTTTTCTACAATGGTTTCTTTGTGAGAAGTCAGAGTTCACTGTTTTGATTTTGAGGCATCATTTCTCCAAAGAATTTATAGCCTAAGTGTTAGCATAGGAAGAGGGGTGGATAGAGAAAGATAAATACTGAAAGGTGAGGAAAATGCTTGTTTGTAATCAGTATTGTTAATTCATGACAAATGGCAGCTGAAATTAAACTCTTAGAAGTGAGTCTAGCTATTATTTATATGTACATATAATGATATCTATAGCATCCACATATCAATTCATGTATGTATGTAAATAATCTATTAATTTTTTACTTTTTTATAGTAAAAATGCATGTTTGGAGGAAGGAAAAATGTTACTTTTACAAATTATTCTACTTCTGATCTGAAAAGGACCTTTGTGGTTTTTAATGTTTTGTTTTAATCAGAAATCAATTTCAAGCTACCCTTTAAAGTGATACCTTATCTGTTCTGCGCTTATGTACTACTTAATTTTGTACTCCTGGGAGGTTTTCATTCACTCTACTAGCAGAGAACTTATTAACTTGCACTTATTAGGAGATTTTAATTTCTTTCCTGTTGCTAAATTTAACAAAATATTTGTAGAATGATATGAAGTAATGGTAAGGTTTTTCTGTTGTTGTTTGTTTTTTTTTTTAATTGGGCTGTAGAAGATAAAATCAAGGACTCATGGCAGTAGCTAACCTTTGGAATTTTGATACAGATATTTTGCAAGGAAAATAAATTGAAGATTAAGAGAAGAAAATAATCCTACTTAAGTATACAGTTAATGTATTTCAACTAGTTGCATTCTTGCCTTAAATTTAGTAACTCCTCCTAGATATTCTGATTTCTCCAGACATTTCAGAGGCAGATGTAACCATGAAATATTACATATATAAACTGTGCTGTTTGTAACATGAAATTATTACAATTTGACACATCAGTTTTGTCAATATGTATTGTTTGCTTGGGTTTTTTTTCTTCCTTTGAGGTTTTACTTTTTAAGGAATTTAGGATAATTATTCATTGAATAAGATTTTACGTTTATGAATTCAGTATGTGAGCTGAAAAAAATTATGGAACAAAGTGTCCAATTTCAAAGCATCATCTCCAAGCTCAAGGATTTTAAATATAGAAGAAATTATTGGAGCATCTGGCCTTACTTTTTGCATATTGTGAAACTAAGTAACTTGTCTAAACAAAATATAATACTAAGACTTAATTTCATCCCCTACAGAAAAGTCAACACAGACACATGTAAATAAGTTTATGCATGTGAAAATTCAGTAAGACTATTTTACATGTGTGAAGTGACTTTTGTGCCAGTGTTTGAGGAATCCAGTCCTGTGGTACTGTTAGATAGCGTGTGATCTAATAAAAAAATAACTTTATGCTTTCTTGCTCAGCACATTGGCTCATTATTTATTATGCAATTTACTTGACCTATTACAATTTAGAACTGACAGTTTCTGGGAACCTCTCATTTCTCATATGGAGAGCAAATAAATACCTTTTTTAACTCCCCCATATATAATCGCAAATTGATTTTCAAGTAGGATCACTTAGCTTCACTTTTCATTGTCTAATGTGGCCTTGTATAATGCTAAATACTGAGGTTGTTGAGTAGCCAGAAAGCAAAACAATTGATTTTTTTATGATAATTGAGTGTGGTCAATTATCATAGAAAATGGGGTGTGTATAACTCAGCCTTCTATGACAGACACCACTTCCCATGAAGGAATTTGGAGAAGAATTGAGGGTAGAGTCGAGTTCAGTAGTATGTGTGATGCCTTCAAGCAGATGTCTTTGAATGTAACTGGGTCTCCCAACACAGCAGTCTGGTTCCTTCATGCAGTTGGCCAGGAGAGATGGGCATTTTTAAAAGCCTAATGAGGGACATCTTATCTACCTAATTGGAAACGTAGACATTGGCCAAGAGTCTCCCAAAACACTCAAAGACCTCTAGCTTTCTCTGTTACTCATACAGAGACCTTGGGCAGAACAGGGTATAAAGTTTAGGTACAAAGGAACAAAAGATCAAATCTCAGCTTTAGTCTTCCTGACCAAATGTATTTGGAAATTCATGATCTTATATTCCTCCAGCTGTTCTTTTTCATCAATTTTTCCTCACCAGCACCTCTTAAGCCTCAGGTCTCCTCTTTAACCCAGCGGCACTTGCAGCAGACCAGTGCTACAAGCAAGACTCATCCCACTCTGCCCAGGCAGAGACCTAGTGCTACCTTCAGCTCTTCCTGATGGCTTTGCAATGTTTCCAGTACTTTCCTCCATACCCTGTGACACTGTGTAATTTAGAAAACCTGTCACGGCGGATTTCCAGCTGTGGTCTGGTACCTGGATGCTATCATAACATCATTCTGAGAAAATTAGCTGGGAAAGCAAATTTGTGCTCCAGTGCTGAGATGTTATACTGCCTTATCTCTGACTTTAAATAAATATTGCTGTGAAGACTTAAGGTTTAAGTAACTCAAAAGACATTATCTTCCCTAAGAGCTTCTAATCAAAAAGGTAACTGTAAATTCACTTGGGAAGAAAATTAGTTTTCCTTCCAGAAATCAAATACATCCATTTTCACTGGGAAGAGGAGAAAAAGTAAAATAAAAAGACTGTTTCTAGATTGAGTAGGACAGTGATTGTAGATTTTGGATGGTGGTAAAGCTATTTGACACAGGGCACTCTTTTTCTCTCCTTGCTGGTGTGGGACTAGGTATGTGGTATGCCACATCCAACAAGGTACCAAAAACTGGGTGACAGAAAGGGAATGTTACAGTAGTTAACTTCTCTTGAATGTCGTTGAGTTGTGCATCTTTGCTTAATTATGATTTTTTTCCTAATGCATATTATAATAGTTCTTTATTCCTATTCATTATTTATGATTTGATAAACTGTGATTTGAGACTCAACACTACACTAAAACATCTATGACTACTAGTAACCTGCACGTTAGTTTCTGGGACTTGTAGCAATTTCCTAACAATATTTGCTCAAAAATTAGTGTGATTTGTTGTTGTTCTTGTTAGTAGTCATGAGAAATGGCTATAGCTTTGTCTTGTCGAAATAAAAGGGAGAAAAGATCCATGTTTAGCATGGTGGTTCTGGAAGACTTTATATTTAGCTTCTATTTTTAAGTTAGTGAAATCAAACATATATCCAATAGTTTCCAGTTATGACTGTGTAATTGAAATAAATGAGCCAGAATCTGAGCTGTTGTTCATTGCTATTTCTTCACTAACATAATTGGGATTGCAGTAACTGATAGTAATTTGTCATCTGGCTCCATCTACACGAAAACTTAATTTATAGACTTCTTCATTGCAGATGAAAGAAAAAAACAGTAATAACATATGCTACTAGTATTCTAAGGTACATGGTTCTCCTATAAACTTCTATGTCATTTTCTCAGTAAACTCAGTTAGTGTTGATAGATGACATTTTTAAACCATGCGCTACACGAGACTGTCAAATGTACTTTTTGTTCTACAAATTTCCCTTCAGCTACCTTTAGGTTTTGAACAAAACTTCTTTTCATTTGAAAATTGGCAGTAACGACTACATGTGTTTTATAATCTCTTTGCCAAGTTCACTGGACCAAATTCATCACATAGGTAGTTTGCCTTGTTTTGCAGTCAGTTAAGTCTCAAGATGATTTGGCTCATCGTATCTTTGAGAAAACTGTACAATTCATAATGGTGACAAAGTGTGTAAGACAGATCACCTAAGTATTTTTAAAGTACATAGAAGAAATGAACAAAGAACAGGGATTTTGATTTAAAGCGTCTTCACTTTTTATGATGGAACCCTGTATTTGAAATCATGTTCGTTTCAATGTACATGCAAACTTTGTCAGCATGCATAAATCTGGTTTAACTGCTCATTCAAGAAAATAGCTGAACTACAGTCACAGGACTATTTACAATATTCATAATCTTTGTCTTATTTTAACTATGTTACAGATTTACTGGCCTGCAGCAAAAGAAAAGCTAGAATTATGCAAATTAGCTGGGAAAGATGCCCTTGTAAGTATGGGGGTTTTTTGATTTATTATTGCTGAGAATATTGTATTTCTGCATATTTGTTTCTAAATGTACAAAATGGATTAATAAATTGTTGTTACACTCTTTTCCTGGACTAAAGAAATGTTTTTTCTTATATCAAAAAGTTACACTTGTTTTTCTTCAATTAAAAAAATCAATATTGAAAGCAGCAATCATGCTAAGCCATCCTTGTATGTAGTAAAGAAGTTGAGGGATGAATGCACCTTCCTCTAAAATGTATCACACAGTATACTCAAATGAAATCGTTTTTTTCCCCATCGAATTGCTTCTTTTTTTCTTGGGAATATCCTCAGTCTAACTTTATTATAATTCATTAACAAAACAGAGTAGCAGAGCAGAGCACAAATTAACTTAATTTACAGACAGCTGCAGTTAAGGTTAAAAGAGAATCTCAGACTCATCAGCTTTTCCCTGGAACCACAAATCTTCTTTAGGAAGTCTCTTTAGGAACTATATTTAAGATGCTTCTATATATATGTTAAAACTTTCATATCTCTTTTGCATAGCACAGATTACATCGTATGTCTAGAGCCCACTATAGAAGTAAATATTTCCTGGCTCTGTAGTAAAATTTCTTCCTTTTCTCTTCACAAATCTTATGGTTTCTATCCAGCTTCTCTGTTACCAAGGTGGACTGCAGCGCAAAGCACTCTTTCAGTTCTCTGCCCGAGGAATTTCAAATTTTTATCCTAACTTATTGCTACCCTTATCTTTACAGCAGAGAAAACCTAAACAACACCTCTGCTGAGCACTGGGAAAATTCTGATACTGGTCTGTATAGAGGATTTGTGCTCATCTATTTCTACACTAAGACAAAAAGAAAGACACTAGAGAGGGGAATATTTGTTCTGGACATGAATTATAAATATCTCCTTTTTGCTTCCTACCTTGTCTCTGTAGCTTGCCTCTCACTGGGTGTAGAGTGGTAGCATGAACATATGAATACCTCTTGTATATTGCCTCCTAAGTACCTTGTTCTGTGTATATGTATGTATTTAATTTTGAGGAAAGCTGCAGCAAGCCTTTCCTATCACCCCATGCAGCACCCTTGCAGTGTGCAGTGGCCACTGGTGCTACTTACCAGCAAGGACCAAGCCCAGGTAGAGCCAGGACTGGCCTGAGCATCCCTTGGGACTCAGAAATAAAAGTGACCAGTAGGATGTGGTTGCTGCAAAGAAAGTTCACTTATACACAAACCATATCCTTAGAAGTGCACTGAAGCCCTTCAGCCCACCACAACAATTTCTGTCATGTGATCTGTGGCATTAAAGTTTGTTCAGAACCCTGAACTGGGAGCTCAGGCAGGAGGATTGGTAGCCAGACTAACCCAGTGGCTCTCCAACCTCTGCCCAGTTGTTAATGGGAGTTGCTTGCTACAACAGCGGCTGAGCCTCCAAGCTGTGCTCTGACCACACAGCTTCTTGTGGCGTTACAGCAGAACTGGGCTTGCAAGTCTGGTTGATGAACTGCCTAGTAGATAGCCCCTGCAAAACTGTAGCCATCACAACTTTCAACTATTTAGTAAACAGTCTCCTTACAGTAGTTTTGAGTTTAAATACACCAATACTACTGCTATAACCTAGCACAATGTATAATGTGAAAGAGAAGAATAAACATGAAAATTAACCTTTCTCTTTCTTTTCCCGATAGACAGAATGTGCCAATTTTATCAGGGTTCTCCAGCCCTACAACCGAACCCACGTTTATGTCTGTGGCACAGGAGCATTTCACCCTCTCTGTGGATACATTGAACTTGGAACTCACAAAGAGGTAATTTAATTTCCTCACTACTCTGACATGCCAAAGAATAACCCTTGTCTTGTTCAGCTCTTGTTTAGCATTCATCATAGATTGGAAAATACTATGTGAGTGTGTAAAAAAATGAACTGACAGCAGCTTGCATAAATAACAGGGTAAATGGTGGATTTTAGAGGTCAGACGGGAATTCATGTTCTCACATTTGATATGTGCGTATCGCTTTTGAACAAAACATTTTCCTCAGCAAGCCTTAATACGCAAAGCTCTTCAGAATGACACTTTCATATGATTAACGAAGTGAAGAGAACATTTAACCCAGATGTCGTTCTTTCTACTAAGTCATTTCCGCACATGCTTTCTGCTTACATACACACACATGCATGCAGAGATCAAGATGACACCGGTATTTCTATTTTTTAATGTACATATACTCGTGGTCCACAGAGATGTTTTCTTTTTTCTTTGTGCATGAGAATAATTCTCAGTGTGTAAGTGGTCTCTGAGCCTGAGTCCCATGTGGCATCTCAGGACTTTGCAGATGGTTTGAAGCCCTGTCACTAAGTAGATGTTGGGTATCCTCCATCACTAGTGGCATGTTCCTGAACTGAAGTTAGCAGCTGATTGGCCTTCATTTGCTGGTGACAAAGAAATCTCTATCCTAAGTGCTAAATGTTTGAGACCTAACCCCCACAACAGAAGAATTTTGCTGTTGTGTCAAGCAGCCACTTAGTACACAAGTCTCTTTTTAACTCCTATATGTATAGCACCTTGGCTATATTTATAACACTGGCTCTGTTCTCAAATGATGTTGAAATGTGACCTGTCTGGCTACTTGCCTGTGGTGCAGGCTTACTATGCTGCTATGGAAATAGCTTTCTCCTTTCTTTCGTTCTCAGTGAAATCCAGAATATAAGAAAAGAGATCTAATGATACGTTATTAAATGTGGTAACATGAAATCTGTTCAGAGTGATTCTGATATGAAATCAAGGGTTGATGCTCACAGAAAAATAAATCTTTGCCCAGGCTAAAGACCCATCATTATACTCCACGCAACCTGTGGGTTGGTTGGCCAGCCCAAGAGGGCTGCCTGTATTATGAGAAACTGAAGCTGCCTTAACCT